CCCCCCTTAAATCCGCCACTGTAGAATATCATGCGATGTAACTTTTACGAGTACACGTAGTATATTTAAAACGAATCTATGTTTCTAACTATGGCTGAAGGTCTAAAAATGTCTCGTTACCAATTAATAGTTGACAACATATTATAAATGTTAGGTTTATATAGTAGGTATTCATACTACTATCATACGGTAAGACGGTATTGACTCAAAAGTCAATAAACCCAATAATCTAATAAGATATAAAATAAAATGTTCCACCATTCTGGATTAAAAATGTATTAGATGTGCAGGTACATTTTAAAATTGTTATTGCTGAAACTAATATTTTTATTAAGTATAGGTGCACTAAGTTGACATAAAGAAAAACAACATAATATTTTATACACAATTATCATAATTAAATATTAATAACATATTCAACTTTACTTTCAATAAAAATTAAATCGACCTATTGTAATACTAAAAGTAAAATAATTTTTAATTTAATAGCAATACTATCAAAAAAATATAATAATAACATGAAATATACTTCATAATTTTATTGATGTAGGCTGATAGACCGTCCCAGCTCTGAATCGTTTATMGTATATACAATTATTTTATGTACCTATACATATTATACATTCCATTGAAATAAAATGTAGCACACCCATTACACTCAACACTTTCTGTATAGAATCACTACTTAGCAGATTGAAACTTATTGTCCCACCTATTCTTGTAGTTCTCTATATTATTTTAAAAAATACTGAGAAATTTCTACTTTTGACCCACGATAATCAGTACAAACTAAACCCATTTTWTTTACCGCAGAAAGCTCCCTCGGTGTTAATGATCCGAGAATTTTTCTTACTGCAAAAAAAAAACGTGTCTTTGGGCGGAAAAATTAAGAAGCTAAAAAAAAAACAACACACACTTACACGATTATAAAATCAATAGGTATATTACTCACATTCGTCGTTTCGCTCAAAAACTAAAACCTTTAAACTCAATATATTATTTTTMTTTAAAAAMAAAGTCGCGAAAGAGTAAGTTATTCTTGCGGTAAAATATTATTCTGGATATCACACGGAAAAATCTTGCGCATTCTTAAAGCATAATTGTACGATATAATATTATTAAGTGATGTTATTCCGTGGCGATAAACGTAATATCTACCATTATGTACGTTGAACCCGGACGACTAACGACGCGTATGTTCACGTGATCGGAGTTCTGAAAGCGACGAYTTTTATCGCGCGACAACCACTCCGATGTGAATCGTAAACCACCGAGACATGTGCACAGTGCACGCGAACCGCGCGCGTTTCACCCCCCATAATTATTAATGTTCTCGGTGGCGGGGGGGAGTGTTTCCACGTGTTTAGAGATGGTCGTATATCACCCTAGTTGGTCGCTAGAGTGCGGGTTAGTCCAACCCAACGTAATATTATTTCATTGTACATGCTGTATGTAATATGTACTACACTTACTTCCGGGCTGGGTTTCGTTTTCGAGTGTGTTCCCATATTATTATCCGGTCTTGAAACAACTGAGAGTACTGCTGTACCTAACAGTGTTTCACGAAGTATTTATATTTTATAATTACAGGTAATCAGTTAGGTACTCATCAAATTTTTCGAGGGTATAGGTAGGTACCAGAGTCCAGAAGCACCTACTGGCTACTAATAAGACGATCTTAACAATATTTTAATGATACATTTTAGGGTGGTAAAAAAAATATCTTTTATATTTTCTGCTATTATACCAATAMTTCAAGAGTTCCACTATGGCCTTGATATAGTTCTGGTCCTTGAAGTCTCATTTTMACGGAGTCCCATCATACATAGGTAAAGATATTTGATTCCTAGAAAAAATGTTTAAGTAATAATACTATTATCGTCCGGTCTGCTAGATATATACGTGTGCCTAGGGCCTAACCAGTCTCGTGTCATCATTTATGCAGCTCCGTGTAATGTTCCCAGGCCATAGGTATAGTGAAATAATTTATATCATTAATATTTTATTTCAATATAATATTATATACATTAAATTGCACTCTGTATATTAGTATTAGTATATTTAAGTCGTAGTGTAATGTACTCTTGTTGAATATTATTCCAACATCAAAATTCTCTGTTTGAATATAAAGCCATAGGCGTGCGCACAGGAGGAGGGCCGGGTGGGCCACGGCCCCCTCTGCGGCCTCTGGCTTTTTCTTTAATAAATGCATAGATATGTATATTATACTAGACAGCGAACATTTTTAGATTTTACAAAAAAMAAGTWAAGCCAGTTTTAATCTAATAGTATAAATAAAATATAAATGTGATTAAGTTATTATTTTATTTATTAATCAATTATCATCACACAAGAATCTTTAGTTCGCACCTTTTAAGGCCCCCCCCTGCGGTCAAATTCTGCGCATGCCTGTGTATAAAGCGATGATGATAATATACTATATTCCACCGTTTGTTATGGGTCTGTCACCAATGATATGTGACTATTGTGACCAGTAATAGACAACGTCATAACAGTTACCATAATATTAATTATTAATACATATAATGTTAAAACGGTGTAGGCGTCGGGTAACGAATCTGCGGAAACAAATCAAACTGAAGATATTAATATAATATCAAAAATCTAATTTATAATATGCTAAAAAAAAAATTCTATGTCGTCAAAAATATTAATATGAAATTGATAAAGTTAATATTTAAATCGATTTATGTAATAACATATATACCCTCCCCCCCAAGCATATACATACCATTTATTTGCGAGTGTTGTATGTGATGTATATGCTTATTATATTACGGTCTCAAGTAGTTTCGTTGTTGACCCATCGAAAAAAACTACCCCGGGGAGGACTCTTTTTTTAGTCACATTTTTTAAGTGTGCACTGCAGTTCTGACACTAAGGACATACCGTCACTTGACACGACTACCGACGCTTTCGCTGAAAACCCTAAGYATACACAATATCACGAGCGATGATACTTATGCTCAGGTATATCATAATATACATACATATATATAGTATTCGTGGGTACGTGTTTTTGCTCCAAATCCTTTGGTACATTTTTTTATTGAACGTGACGTGTCTGTCTAACAATTCTTCTGCATACGATTCTTCTAATTAAATATAATACTGCATTATTATTACACAACGTCACTGATTCTGTCACCATCATACACGAGGATGAGTAACAATATATTATTATACAGCCTGATTCACCACCTGAAAATACTCGCACYCATTCGAAATCTAATTTTTGAAATTTTATATATACCTACTTAAAGACCGTATTTTTTTAATAGTTGAGATTTGTTGTATTGCGTAGGTCCTTAAAGAGTGCGTTCTATGCAAGGGCGTCCTCAGGGGGGGAGGCAAAGGGGCCATTGCCCCTACTCCAATATTTTAAAACTATTGTTAATTTAATGCCACGCATGTTAAAGACATTGTTAAAAAGCAAAAACAAAAATTATTGAAGACGTTATACAATATCATTTTGTATGTAACCAAGACGCATATAACTTTTATTTGATAATCTATATAAGTATAATTAATTTGTAACATCTACATTAACATGTATTCAAAAAATATTAATATTGTATTGTAAACCTACCACGTATAAGGGATTTATGTTGTAATGACATATTGTTGTTTTTTTTTCTATTTAGGTTATGCTATTTTTGAATGAAGACACTAGAAATATATTAAAATTTAAAATAATCTTTTTGATTTGGTTTTAGAATTTTRATCTTGCCCCGGGTGGGATTTTATCCTGCGGGCGTGCTTGGTTCTGTKGGAAATGGGGATGCTAATTCCTTTTTTGAAGCTTTCCAAACAAACAATATTTCATGTATAATGAAATATTTCTGAGAATCGAAAATAAARTTAAAAAGATATAAGACAAGAAGGATATGTATATAGGTATCCTTTGTTTCTTAATTGATTTAAAAATCAAATCTATTAGCATAATAGCATTTTAAATAGGTATGTAATGACTAATAAGAACATAACTATAAACAAATTATTCATACTATTTTATTTTATTTTTTTATATACTATCCACTATCCAGATGCGAGATGCCCGGACTAGTATGACTCTTTGATATCTTCATGTTTAATTGAATCTCTTATCTAAATTATATGTACATAAGCATATTATTATATCTTAGCATTTAGCATAATATTATCCTTGGTATGCATTATATTTAACGACTTGGAAACTATTCGTTTGATTTAGGGACAATAA